ATAGTACTTTATAGGCTGGGTCCCGTATTACATGCACTTGCAGGTAAATCGTAATTCCTCCGAAGTTAAATGGAACATTTTTGGCGAGACCAAGGGTCTTTTCCACAGTTCTATTCGCACTTTGCATTTGAATGGTTATATCAGGATCCCAAGGGACTGCTAATTTCTTAGCAACCTTCGCATCCATTGATACAATTTGTGAGCCACCATCCAACAAGCTCTCTACTTGACCAAACTTATTAATTACTGGATATATCGATTTTAAAGCATGGGACTCTTTAGATACGTAAATCTCCTTCGGAGTTTCCGATGAGCCTAGGCCTTGCAAATATTGCTCAACAGGGTCTGTCAGGACTATAGAACCCTTTGGTATTACTCCATCATCCTCTGTTGTGCACATAAAAGTGGCTTTGATGTCCAAGTCATTTATATTGATTTTTCCGAAATTAAAATTATCTTCTTGCTTTTTAATTGGAGGTGCGTCTTTATCAACCTCCTCGACTATAGTTACTTTTCGATTGTGAGCAGTCTGAATTGGTACCTTCTTTTTAGCTAAGGCCTTAAACAATTCTTGCCTTACTCCAGGAGAAATGCTCATAAGTACTTCCGCGCTTAGAGTAACAGGTGCTTTTAACAGACTGTTCAACGCTTGTTCCTCATTTTTAACATTTTCTATTGGAGCTAAATGCTTGTATGCTATCGGGCGCTTCTCATAGAAAGGCACTGGGTCATACTCTTCAACCGATTCTTTCGCGTTACTATTTAAGTCTGGGATACCGAGATACGGTAATTGTTTGTGCCTTGGATTAGGATCCTCAACATCATCATTTCTTTCAAGTAATTTTTGATTATTTTTCAAAGTTTTCTTTGGTCCATTGAGATTTTCTGGTTTCTCAGGAGGAATTTCTTCTTCCTCTGATTCTTCGATAATCACAACTTTCCTACCCCTTTTCTTTGGTGCGTCCTCTGGTGCCTTTGGTTCTCCAGCATTGGGTTTAGTCTTACTGGAAGGCCCCTTCATCGGACTCTTTAGTTTCCCGACTGTCCCTGAGTCTCGGTTTGAGATCTACGGGTGACGGCAAACTGCGACGCATCTACGTCCCTCGTTTTATTGGGGTTTGTAACAAGGTTCGCAAGCATGTCGGTAAGTTTTAACACTTGGTTGTTCATGTTGAGAATCACATCGTCTCTTGTATCTCGCATCTGGTTTGTAAAAACGGAAATTTCATTTCCATTATTATTATCCGGTAGCCTGATTATACCTGGGACAACAGCTTCTTGACTAAAGACTTCTCCAGGCTCTGCAAACATATTATTTTGTAGAGTCAAATTTTGCCTACTAGCCTCCTCGACAATTTGTCGAACGGATTTTTCGCCATTCCCTCTAGGTACTGCAGTATTATTATGTGTAAAATACATTTGGTTCCCAAGAAGCTTGATTTTCTTCTGGGCTACGTGTGCTTCTCTATGTGGACAATTTGAAGTAAAATGGCCTGGTTCATCACAGTACCAACAGCCATCTGAAGTCATTTTATAACTCGCCACTTTACTTTGTGGGTTACTGATATTCAGCTGTTGGTGAACTAAAGTCTCTAAGAGTTTCTTCATTTCGATCTGCGTGTTTTGTACCATATTACGAAGTTCTGAATTCTGTTTTTGATCTACTTTAATTTGATCAAGGAACGTCGCAGTAATACTTCGCAATTCTTTGAATTCATCGTGCTCCATTTTAATTTCCCGTTTGCGCGCTTGAACTGATCTACCAGTCGATACAGCTCTCGCGTTGCTTGGGTGGTCTCGGGAGTCTCCAGTAAGACGTCCAGCGATGGTTTCTGCCATGTCTATGATGTCTATGATATCGTATGGATCTTCAGTTCTTCTAGCAGTGGTCTCATCCTCGTTGCCTTTCTGTTTTCGGTCTCTAGTTTGTTCAATATTCAAACTGGCCTTAACTTGATCAGCAAAGGAATCTGTCAGACAGCCTAAGAACATGTCAACTAGCTCTCGGTTGCTCACCAGTACTGGCGGCGCCATGAGTAATTTTTGTTGTGCCCTAAAACTTTGAGTTAAAATTTTCAACTCTGTCAAGTTCTTTTCTGCTAGCCGACTGTTTTCTCTACATACAGCTCTTAGTCCAGTTAAGGTCCCTTTTCCTGCATTTCCCGCATCAGGGTAATCTGCTATTAGAGCCTTTTTAAACTCGTCAAAGGAGCCGTCTTCGAATGTTTTAAATGCTTTCCATTCGAATTCAGTTTGTTGATCCGTATATTTTCCTAATTTCTTCTTTTTCTCCACGTCACTATTAATACCATATTCTGCGAAAAGATCTTCCATTTGGTCTAAGAAACGTAGAAGCTCAATTGGTTTCTCTTTATCGAAGAACGGGGCTCCCTTATTACCGGGTAATGGCATGGTCCTGTGTGAAGACCGACCTGTAGGGGCCAGTTCTTCTATGCTTGAACTCGATGGGTCAGGCATGATTATTGGGTTTCTTCTGGCTTTTGAGTTCGAAGATTTTGGTTCAGATTGACGAACAGCTTTCGCAGGTCGAATAGGTATAGGTTTTGGAGGTACTTCTTTTCTTAACAGGTAACGTTGTACGACTGGCTCAGCAGCGCGTTTGGGTTTCCGTGTAGGAGGTAAGGGTACTTGTGGACCTTCTCTAGCTCTTTTAGATGTGGCTGTTTCTCTGATTTTTATGGCTGCCGTTGTAAACGACTTTTGATGCTAGTTCTTGGTATTAGAAACTAGGCTTGGTTTTTTATGGTCTTTGGTTGATTCAAACAGATGTTTAAATAATTCGAAAACCGCTTTCAAACAACTTTTTCAAGTACAATTGAAAAAAACAAAACAAATGAAAACCCTCGCGGTGGGCTCCAGATGAGAAGACTGTGTCACGTGGGAGTGAGAATAGTGTAATCGGATGCGCTGACAAGATGCGTGAACACCTAAACAACACACACACACACAAACACCTTAAACACTTATCACCACAGGTACGTGCTCGGTACTTCGAGTTCGGGTTCGTACGGTAAACAGAATTACCACACTTGTTTTGTTAGAACCTAAGTAGAAGTTCGGGGAAACGTTTTTGTATATTTTATATCACTTGTCTAAGTCTAGTAGACCTTTTTGGAACAAAAGGTATTGTTTTACATGTGGGCACAGTATAGAATTCGAAACTTAGTAGTCTTCGAGGGGAAACAGCTTTTATTGGGACTGTCTCGGTGTTCTGGGATTGCGTTCTAACTGTATACGGAGAAATGACAAGGAAATTGTGCTTTGTAGACTTTTATAACTCCCTTGAGCTTTTATTATGCCTCTGATGCAGTCCAAACTAGTCTTAAAGACTCTTCAAGCATGCTCACTTGGATTCCTCGGTAATAGTAGAGAGCTCTCTTACTAATTGACGAGACAACCTTACAAAAGCTTTGTGATCCCCACTTAACACGCTGGTTCCGGGCACACGTTACTTATGTCTGCGAAGAAAAGTCCTTAAATTGATTACAAACTTATCCACTACCTCAGATGCTACTGGGAGTGCGACAGCTGGTCAACGCGGGGGATAATTCCTTGCGTTTCAGCCTGCGCGCATCCTCTTTTTATACTATTCTATGTCTTCTATTCATATTTACATGTCCGTGTGTTGTCCGAGAGGTCCAGTACTTTACAGTGCCCCTCCCATTCCTGCAGGAATCCACAGGAATCCACAGGAATCCACAGGAATGGAACAGGATTCCGCAGGAATGGAACAGGATTCCACAGGAATGGGACCGGAATCCACAGGAATGGAACAGGATTCCACAGGAATGGGACCGGAATCCACAGGAATTCCACTGGAATAGGACTGGACAGAGTAAGGTTGAAAAACCATGTAAATTTACCCCCATATTCTGATCAGCTTTTTATCATGTGACTGAATCTGTATTTATTCAACTCCAAGCTTATCCTGATAACTTAGTACCTTATAGAACCCACATCTAGTGAAGCAATAAGTTCATAGGTCAAATTATAATGTATTTAATAAGGACATAACATGTATTTTACTACATAATATTAAAGGAGGGGGAGAGGGACAAGGAAAGGTAGTAGGGACAAGGAGGGGGGGTAGGGACAAGGAAGGAGCAAGGGACATGGCAATGGAGAAGGAAAGGGGTGGGTAGAGACACAGAGGGAGTGATGGGGAGAGTGTGTGGTAGAGGGAGGGGCGGGAAGAGTGGTGAGGAGAGTGTGTGGTGGAAAGGGGGACCGATGGAGTGGGGAGAGTGTGGTGGGGACTCACGTTGTCGACGTCGCGTGTCGTCGTCGCGTTGTCGTTGTCGTTGTCCTCACGTGTCGTCGTTGTCGCGTTGTCGTTGTCGCGTGTCGTCGTCTCGTTGTCGTCGTCGCGTGTCGTCGTCGTCGTGTGTCGTTGTTGCGTTGTCGTGGTCGTTGTCGTGGGCGCTCGTCGCTGAGCTGTAGGATGGTGGAGCTGGGCGCTGGGCGTTGTTCGTGGGCGCTGCACGTTTTTTCATGGCCGGCGGGGCACGTTTGTGGGCGGTGTGCGACGTGGCACCTGGAAATTGAGCACTGGGGGTCGAGGGGGCTTGCCACGTCGACGTGGCACCTGGATGGTGAGCAGTGGGGCGGTGAGGGGGCCGTTTACTCACTTGGGTGGCCCAAATCAACCGGACGGTGACGATACCACGTCGTCACCGTCAGACGACGTGGTACGTCGCCACGTTGCATCGGCGTCGTCCGGTTGTGCGTCGTCGTCGTCCCGTTGTGCGTCCTCGTCTCATTTGGCGTCGTTGCGTCGTTGCCACGTCACCGATAGCGACGTGGCGGCGTTGCAGGGGGTTGTTTCGTGGCCGTTGTTTGCTGATGTGGCGTCGTCGTGGTTGTCGCTGTCGTCACTGTTGTTGTAGGTGGGCGGTCGACGTCGCAGAGAAGAGGATGTGGGTGGGGGGTGGAAAGGAATGAGTTTGTTTGGTTGTATTCTTTGTTTATTTCCCTTGTGTTACCAAACAAAGCCAACACGAATTCCGGTGGATTCCGTTCCTGCGAATTCCGCGGAACATTCCGGTGTCAATTCCGGAATGCCCAAATTCCGCCGGAATGGTAAGGCACCGGAATGATGAAAATAGCAGGTCTCCCTGCCAAATTTCATTCCTCCGGAATCCACCGGAATCCGCCGGAATGACCGGATTCCTGCAGGAATTAGGGGGGCACTGATAAGACCTCGAGAGGTCGGATGAATTAATACTGATTTTTAGTAAAGGTTCGAAGTGGCTCAGTTGTGTGTGGCACAACTGAGCTGACTTCTTTTAAGTTTTTGTAGTGTTTTCTCTATTGTGGCGACGCGACGCATCAGTATTGATGCGTACGCGGGAATCGCCGTAAACGGTTTTCACGATCGGTTCAGCCGAGACGAACGGTCCGCTTAGTGATTTTTCTCTCTATTATTAGATACTATGCCCGGGCCTCGGACCGCACGGCAAATCGTTCATAGTTTTTCTCTTTTGGCAGGCTTCGGAATATTTCATGAAGCTTAGTTTTCTTGGGTCAATGATGCCATGATTTGTGATGCGTTGATGCGCGTGATGCGTCTCTCCACATGACTTCTTGGATCATGCTTCGTAGCACGTGACCGAATGACTTCTCGCATCAGGTACGCGTCGAGTTTCTATGCTCGCGCGTTTATCTTTAGAATTAATATCTTTTAATCCATAATAAGTGAGACCCTGGTTTGGTGTAAACTCCAACACCCTGTGCAGGGGTGTTTTTACTCTAGAACACTCAGTAGCGTACTATTTCATGGTAGTGTAGCCTTTTATTAGACTTCAAGTATATTGAGGTGATTCAGTCACGAACCAACCACAATTCCTACTGTCTAAGGCGTGCACATTTCTCGGATGTAGACTTTAATCGACTAGACCGGGTTGCGTCTAACGATCCTTATGATCAATGTGACTGTATTTCTACTATAGGAGGTTTTATAGGAGAAATCGCTAAAATTCGCATTTTTACGGGTGTATTGTTACACTCTGTATCAGCGTGCATAATAAAAACAGTCAAGTATCTTACTGTTTCATGACATACAATAGTGTGGCCCTCCTGGAGGATACTTAATTGTTTACAGCCGTGTGCTGAACATAGGGCGCGGTCTTCTTGATCATCTTGGGGCGTGGTTTGGGACGTGATTTCTTTTCTGTCAGTTGTATTATCTCTTCACGGTGAATGTAATCAGGTCCAAACTATTTGATGTCATGTGAGTCACCTCAAACTTAGTAGGTTTCACTTACCTGAAGATCATCATCATCTCCAGGACAATCCTGGTGATTCAAGTCTTCCATCCTTGCATACGGATCCCAATCTTGGTGATGTCCTGTGTCCAAGCCCCATTGATAAAGTCTTCCATCCTTGCATATGGATCCCAATCTTGGTGATGTCCTGTGTCCAAGCCCCATTGATAATAACTCACGATCCCCGCAGCTCTTGAAACCTCAAACATCTCGGTCTCCAGATTCTCCAAGGCCTCGTGTTCAACATCAATGTCGAACAAGACTGAAGGGATACTTGTAAATTGGATCCTCCAAGCCTCGTTGATGATTTCTGGCTGTGTGAGTACCTTGAACTTTGGTTCATTTTTGATGTGTTCTGCGCTGTAAAGGGTGAACGCATGAGCTAGCGGTAAGCGCCCGAGCCAGGTCTCTGCATTTTTGCTGATGTGACACAGAAACCAATTTGCGATCTGGGCTCTCTGGACGATAGAAAGAGCTCCACAATACAGAACCAAGCTTGTTTGAAGAGGCTTTTTGCCGTTTTCTAACCAATCTCTTGCCAGGATGATTTCACTCTTCACGTCGTCTGGACCGTAGCATGTGAATAATTTCTTCAGAAGCTTTTTGAATGGCGAGAGGATTTTGTTGATCTCCTCACTGTATGGTATTTCAGATGGATCTGTGAGAATGTCTTCAGAGGTTTCGATGTCCCAGGCATGTTTCCATTTTCCAAGCTAAAAATGTGGGTGAGTAAATTATCTGATTAAACCAATGGTGTCGCTCACCCATATTGCTCGTCTTGCCAATCGGTTGTTCCACAATGAATCGACAATGTCCTTGGTATTCACAACAGAAAATCCACCAGCTGCAGGCTTATCCTTGTCAAGAAATTGATTTTCCCTCCACCAATGCACCCTCCAACCGTGTTGCACTGCCTGAATCAGGTGCACTGGATACCAAAACTGCTCACATCTCGCTAGCGCGCCTCTCCCCACTCTAATGAACAAATTTAAGTACCATTCATAGTGGAGAATATCGAGGTCTGACCATAATCGTAACTTGAGTGGTTTATTCAATGCAAGACCTGCCTCAAGCTCCCTGTAAGATTTTTTGGTCAACTTGAACACTAATATGGACAATTCAAATCCTTACTTTTGTTCAGACTTCCTTGACAAGGGAAAATAGTGGGACAAATCACATGAATCACAGATAAACGGGCATCTGGCACAAGGTTACTGGCTCTTCCATCGCACTGGCACGCAATATGAGACCAATCACGACATTGATTGCATTGGATAGCCACCCCATGCTCATGGCGATAAAGAATATTACCATTACCAATGATCCCACATTGGCAGTTCAACTCAAATTCTGAATTTGGGAGAGAAGACAGAGGGCTAGGTGGAGTAGTCGGTGATCCAGGTTGGGAGATTACACCTTCCTTGGGCTCTGGAGACAGAGATTCCTCAGTAATGTCAGCTGGTGCATTGCGAGAAACATACTCGAGGATCTGTGATCTCAAAGGGGTTCAAAAGCCAGGTGCACTTGTTGCTCTTGAGCTTGACAAATTGGTCTGAGTGGTAGGTCATTGAAAAGAGCCTGTCAAAATTATTTGTCAAGAATTGCAAATTGCATTTCTTGGCAAGGGCAGCTGTTCAAACTTGAAAGAATAAATCCTGTGCAACAGCTCCTCCACAAAGCAAATAAAAAGCCTGATAGACCACAAAATTTTGAGGTAGGTCAACATGCTTTCCAGCCACATGAGTATCAAAGCTGGCAGGTTTGTCTCTGATTGGGTGACCATTATTCGTCAAATCATCATACATATAGATGACCTTCTTGTTGTCTGAGGCATACTGAGCAATAAAATGATTGCCATCTTCGTTGGTCAAGGCTAGTCCCATGAGATCATAAACAAGTCCATGAGAATTTGCTGCAGATTGGGTATGAGGAAGCAGTGTTGAAGGAAAATCCCATTCCTGAGGCATGGTCTTGGATGGATGCTCATCACCAACTTCAAAGAAGTGGGAGAGAAGTAAGCAGATAACAAATATCTTCTCTGGCACCCAGACAAAGAGGTACAGTCTTCTTGACGTGCCAGCAACTAGTTGCTGGAACTTGCTCTTTGTCTAGGGAGACCCAATCCACAAAATACAGGGCAAAATCTCCCTGAAACTGTTTGAAGTCGTGTGGTGTCAGCTGTTGGATTTGTCGCCATTGAGGGTGGTGAGAAATCTCAACAAGAGGACCACCAATACTGGATGATCCTGTGCAGTAGTGAATCTCGATGAAGAGTGTTTCGAAACTGGAAACTGGATGATAGGATGAATGCACTTCCTCCAGTTTGACCAGCTCTGCAAATCAGGCCTAAAAAGAAATGAATCAGTCTCAGGTGAATATGGCAAAGATACGTACAAAAAGTGATTCAAATCCACTAACAGTCTCGAAAACCTTCTTTTTCTTCAGATGGGTACATAGGGAGTCCCATTGACGATGGAGGAATGTTGATGTAGTCTTTTCAGCCTCATTGAGATCATACCACTCCAACAAATGAGAAAATGCTGGACGTATTGCAGAGTTTTCTGGAAGTGCATTATAAATAGCCTTGAATTCATCAACTGAACAGTGCATGGTGGTATGGAGAAGTTGCAACGAAGAGTCGAGCCAGCAAGAATTCTTGAACCAGGGATAGCTTGGCAGGTCTTGAACAGCAGGACTGGTAGCTGGAGACTCTGCTATCTTTGGGTCTGGTTTCATCAGCTTTGGTTTCTTCAGCTCTGGTTCCTTTTTTGTGAAGCTTTTTAATGTCAATTGCTTTTGCTTCGCATTTGTGCCCAAGAGTTCCTTGTTCATGTCTGGTGGGTGTCCATCATTCTTTTTGCACTTTTTATCTGCAGGTTTTCTGGAGCATGTGGGTTTTGTTCGACCAATATTCTCCTTGACAATCTTCCATGGCTCTGCTTTGCCATAGCAGATTGGCTTCCCTTCTATTGATTTATCTGCATTAGAATACATTCAAGAGACAATAAAATGAGTTGCTCCATCATGAAGGTGTTCATAATATACAGCGACAGCATGTAAGGAGTACATCCCTTCTAGGAATTCATGATTATGGCCACAGGCACTGTAAAGCTTCCAATGCATTGCTTCCTCTGCATTATTGTCAGCTGGCAGAAAATCCCAAAGATCAATATCCATTTTTCTCTCAGACTTGAAGAGCATAGATGCATGAGCCGGCCATGTCCACCATTCCATCCAGGAAGCAAGCTTAGGGAAATCACATACCAGGAGCAAAGCCTGTGAAGTGAATTCTGCTGAGGTCGGAAGCATTAAGAGGCCCAATGCATGTGTGATAAACACATCCACCATTGCAGGTGAAATGATGCCAGAGATACAGCTGACATGCAAAACACCAGTGCAGTAATGTTAGTGTTTGGAAGTCCGGTCTTGTGACTGGAAAAAGACCGTAACCAGACTGGACCAAGACCGCAAAAGACCGGACCTGCAGTTACGGTCTTTTATTTTTGAAATGTAAAGACCGCAAAAAAACCGGTTAACGTGAACCGGTCTTGACCAGTTTGGACCGGTCTTTTGTAGCCCCTTAAATACCCTTTAAAACACACCCAAGAACGTACGATTTGGTAAAAAAATGAGAGAGATATGAATTAAAATGTAAATTACTTTTGAGAATAATAGATGTACCAGACTTATTTTATAGAAGCACCACTTCCTAACGGAGTTTAACGTTCTTGGGCTCGTTTTGAAGCTATTAGAGATGTTAATAAATTTACCGATTCATAAATTTAAAATATTGGCCTAAAGACCGGTCATAAACCGGTTAAAACTGATGCAGACCGAAACTGGTCTATAGACTGCAAAAAACTGCAGTCTGCGGTCTTTTTGCAGTCCGGTCTGGTCTTTTGACTTCTGGGGAAAAGGCAGACCGGTTACGGTTACGGTTAACGCCCCTGGGCATCAAAAAACCGGACCGAACTGGACTTTCAAATACTAGGTAATGGTCTCTACATCCTTTTAGGAGATGCTCTGCAGCCACCTGAAGTTCCTGCTGATTTCGTGTATTATCACGTCAAGCCATCCAGAAGACAACGAAGCCTCAAATGAATCCACTACACTCTGCCTCACTGAAGTCCATGACCTGACAAATTAACAATTCAACGAGGGAAAAGTTGGTGGAATAAAAAATGATGACATATCCCTGTGAAGAGATCATCCATTATGGGAATCCCTCGTGCTTCTGCCTCATGAGCGATGCTCATAATAACTGCAAGGAAGTGGTTCTCGAAGTGGATGGCACTAGTTCTGTTTGAGTAGGATAAGACTCCAGGAACCCAGCATAAGAGTGTTGAGCAATGAGTTGAAGAAACAACAAGGAGGGAAGTTCGCTCCTTCCAAAAGTCATGAGTAGCGTCATTCACCATTCCATTGACTGAACCCTCCAAATGCTGATTCTTGACCATTTGTGATCACATGAGATTTGTCTGGACTGATATGACCACATTTTCACTGAGAGTGGAATGGATAACAAAGTTTGGATGCTCATTAGCAAACTTGGAAAATGAAGCTAACAGAGCATCGGTGCCCTGGATGTGACCCTTCTTGAGTTTTGAATGCTCTTTGCTGACACAGTGAGCATTCAAAGACACATCTGAGATATCCGCAATGGATTTGCCAGGCCCATCGAGTCCTGGAACTCCAATGATTAGTTGAAGTGGTCCTGATTTTGGATGTGCCTTGACTATTTCTTCAAATTGTCACTGTTCATTGGGAAAGAGGTGTAGTATATGAGTCAGTCAACGGTGCATATGAAAGCCACCATTTTCATAATGAACGCCATCTGACCATTGCCAGAGGTAAGAAATTATGTTGCACCTGCAGTGAGAGAGCTCAGCCCCACATTGACATGGTTCAGTTAACTGCTTGTTAATTCCTTGAGCTGCTGTGTGGGGTTGGACAAGTGTTTTGCAAAGTGGATTGTCACATTCAATGACCCCCAGGCAGCGTCTTGAGGATTTCTTCCCTCCCTCCCAGTTTTCAGCATGCTCATTTCCTTTTTGATCACCTCTGTTAACTCGAACGGCCCAATGCACACAGAGATTTCCTGTTGCTTCTATCTCCGCAGGTGTAAAGTCGTGCTTGAAGTTTCCATTGGGCCAACCATCCCATTCCCTGGTGTCAATATAAACTGAATCAGAGGGATTGCTTTTGTGTAGAGTGGGGAGAGATGAGGATTTTAAAGGTGTGGAAGTGACTGGTACATAATTCCCATCCAAAGTATGCTTGTAAAAGACATTGTCTTTTGATACAGAATTCCCAGACTGCAAGGCACATTTATTCTGGGAGATAGTGATAGCTTCTAGATGTAATTGAAAATCAGTCCAATTCCATGATTTCAATGAGCAGTGATGCACGGGCTGCCTTGTTGGGTGATGTGACCTTTTCCTCTCCAATACCTCCTTCAATGTACCTCAATAGATGGCCTAACACAATCCAACTAATTAGAAAATATTTAATATTGCATGACTTTGACATACCGTCCATGCTATACACAGGTATTAGGTCCTGAAATTTTTTCACAGTCGAAACAGCCCTTTTAGATTGTGCTTCATGTGGTTCTGGTGGCCCAAAGTACCGAAAAACATATCTGAGAAAGTCCTACATGAAATATTTAGAATCTGAATCTGGTTTAATATTGGGGGACTCACCATTGTCTTGAGAAAATTGCCTTTCAATGAAGGAGAAAGTAAGGAAGAATCAGGATGATATTTGTTGACCCAATCACTTTCCATTGAACGGAACCTAACTCTAAATTGTGGCTTGATGCATCATCCAAAGACCCAGTATTTATTAATTTAAATGGGTAGTGTGCATGGGTGTTCACAAGTGTGTGTTAGCATGATAGTAGTGTGCTAGTGCATGCAGACGTGTGCTGGTGTGTGGACAAGCATGCAGATGTGTGGATGAGTGTGACCTTCAGGGGTCAGTAATGTGAGGATGCATGCTGATGTGTGAGCACATGCATGCATCTGCATGGTGATGCGTGTCAAGGTCCTGAGCATGCATGACTGCTGCATGCATCACTGATTCAGTACAGAAAGTTGCTATTACCATCATTAACAATCTTTAAGATGTTTGAACTTAATTGACGTCATATGGGAATGACAAAGTAATTCAGAAGGATTGAATTTACAGCCGTTCCGGAAAAGGATGAGAATGTGGGAATTTTTTTGGCATAGATTCCATAGTTACCAAATCAGGAATTGGCCTGTTCTTTGACCCATTCCACCACTGTTCATGCCCCATAACCATGCAAACCTGTTCTAATAGTGCCCACACTTCGAGGTCTTTACCCTCCCCCACGTAATCCATATGGACTCCAGTGGACTCCAGTGGATTCCAGTGGCCCTCTTACCAGGCCAGATTGGCTGGCAGAATGCCCAGTCCAGTCCAGTCCAGTCCAGTCCAGTCCAGTGGACTATGAGTCCAGTCGGAGTCCAGTGGAGTCCAGTGGATTCCAGTATATTATTACTACTATTATATATGAATATAACTAAAAAAGCGAAAATAGACTATACAATATACAAGCCATACTTACAATTTTATTGATCAATGAATGGAAGGGTTATAATTTACATATAGTGTGGGTCAGTGATAGCTGCAATAAGGATTCATGATTTTGTTCAGTCTGCGGGGTGAGGTCACGTGACTTACTTGAGGGCGTGCCATATCGTCACATCTTCTATTTGCAGCATGGTCACACTTCCGTGACCATCCCATTCCCTTCCACCACCACCACCACCCTTCACCACTCCCCTCCAACGCCGCCAACGCCAACGCCGCCCACGCCAACGCCAACGCCGCCAACACCAACGCCAACACCAACGCCGCCAACGCCAACGCCGCCCACGCCAACGCCAACGCCGCCCACGCCAACGCCAACGCCGCCCACGCCAACGACGCTCATGCCCACGCCAACGACGCCCACGCCAACGTGGAAGGACAGGCCAAGAACGAGGGACGGCGCCCATGACGTGGCCACGTCATGGGCCAACGGTATGTATGCCCCACCACCCCAATGCCCCGTTCTCGCCATGACAGGCACCAGCGGCACACGACAACGATGACGACACACGAGGACGACGACGACGACTACACGCGGGGACGACGACACACACGACGACGACACGCGGCGACGACGACGACACACGTTGACGACTACACGCGGGGACGACGACACACAACGACGACGACGACACCCGACGACGACTACACGTGGGGTCGACGACACACGACACGACGACACGCGACAACAACAACGACACGCGACAACAACGACAACAACGAACGAGCGCCCACGAAAACCCCACCCCCACCACACCCGAAAAATGACATGCCCACGAAAAACGACGAACGCCCACCACCGCCGACGCGAGCGCGGAACGGCGACGAGGGCCAGCAGCACCACCCTTCCCCTCCACTCTCTCCCCCTATCACTACCTCCTCTCTTCACCACTCCCACTCCCCTCCACTCTCTCCCCCCTTCACTCCCTCCCCCCCTCCCCCTTTCCTTGCTCCTCTCTCCCCCCCTCCCTTTCCTTCCCCCTTCCCTCTATTCCTCTCTTCCCCCTCCCTTTCCCTCCCCCCCCTCTCTTTCCCTTTCCCTTCCCCCTCCCTCCCCCCTCTCTGTAACATAGAATTTAGTATAATTAATTAATTTAATTAATAAATATACTTCAATATTATTTTTTGTTTTGAAGTCTAAGTTCAGGAATTCTGGATTAACTTAGGTCTGTGGCAGTCCAGTCCAGTCCAGTTTTGTGTTGGGAGAGTCCAGTGGAGTCCAGTTTTGTAATTTGCAGTCCAGTCCAGTCCAGTCCAGTCCAGATTTGTGCTTGCAGTCCAGTGGAGTCCAGTGGAGTCCAGTTTTGTGCTGGGAGTCCAGTTTTGTGGATATTGCCAGTATGTAGTGAAGTCCAGTGGAATCCAGTGGAATCCAGTGGAGTCCATGTGGATTATGTGGGAGATGGTAAAGTACTGCCACACTTCACTCAACGACGACAACGACGACATCTATGCCAGTGATCACGCTGCTAGCCCTTTTGAGATGACTCCAGACAATAGTGATACGTTGATAGAGAATCCGTTATCAGGTACGTGAGCAAAGGACTACATCATTTGTTTACTAACTCTAAGCCTGATATAGAACTTAGGGTCTGTCCGGCAACGAGAATCCATTTTCATTCTCATTTTCATCTTCATTTGATGGCTGACAAATTGGGTCACACACCAAATTGGGCAACAACAATAACTGGGCTCCTTGGACAACCCACATTCCGTTGTTATATTTTCTATGTACAACACAGTAAGTTTCTACTGTCAGCTATAGCATGTATTTCTTTTCAATTTTTATTTTGCAAAAATCATGCATATTTACTTTATTCATGTAAATTAGATACAACCAATCTGTATTTAAAATACCTACTTGTTGGTTTTACACCCATAGGCTGCTGTAATACCTATGATAAAGCCNTATGGCATAACTTGATGGGTAAGGAACAGGAAACTTTGTTATTTCTTAAAGCATTTCTGTAAGAATTAATTTTGGACAGCAACAGAAACCTGACTACATTCCAACTACATTTAATAAATATGTACTTATGGGGAGCAAATTTTTCTGTTCCTTACCCATCAAGTTATGCCATAGGCTTTGTTATAGGTATTACAGCAGCCTATGGGTGTAAAACCAACAAGTAGGTATTTTAAATACAGATTGGTTGTATGTAATTTACATGAATAAAGTAAATATGCATGATTTTTGCAAAATAAAAATTGAAAAGAAATACATGCTATAGCTGACAGTAGAAACTTACTGTGTTGTACATAGAAAATATAACAACGGAATGTGGGTTGTCCAAGGAGCCCAGTTATTGTTGTTGCCCAATTTGGTGTGTGACCCAATTTGTCAGCCATCAAATGAAGATGAAAATGAGAATGAAAATGGATTCTCGTTGCCGGACAGACCCTTATATTCGTGAATATGAATCCCCAGACCATTGAGAAGAGTCTGGGGATAAAGAGCACTACAAAGAAAAAAGAAAGCATCATCGACATTGATGACAAGGATGAGGGTGCCGAGCAAGCGCATATAGAAAAGAACAAGAAGAAGAAACGGCCCTCTATTCCTGTTGCATTTTGTTTCACTTCTCTTGTGTATTCTACCACTATTGAGTGTTGTTTCTAGACAATTCCGATAGCGAGGACAACATGAGGTCGCAGAAGAAGAGAAAAGTGAAGTCCACAAAGAAGAAGCACGACTCTAATGCTGGTCAGTTACCTTTGACATTGAACTAACTGATACAGTGGTCTGATAGTGTGTATTTCGATGCAGATTCAGATTCAGAGGCGAGGAGTGTTGGAAAAGCAGGGAAATCAAAGAAAAAGAAGGTTATCGCATCTGGTACGTTGCCTTCAACCTTATCACTGTACAGTTCTAAGTGGAGCAAACAATTAGATGACTCTGGTGATGAGATACCTCCTGTTGATCTCACAATCTTTGTCTACGTGGAGAAGCCGAATCCTCCTCATACGGCAAAAGGTAATGTCGAAGAAAGTGACAGGTATGCGCACAAAGGGCCTTTCAAGCTCAGTTCCAATGACAGCTATGGCACCTTCCTCCACAAGGTGTCCACTGCACTGCCATGCCCAATCCTTCATATCATCGAGGAGAAGATGTCTTGGAAGCCTCAGACGCCACAAAATGCGAAGCCTTTGCCTATGGGTGCAGCGACTGGTTACTCAACAATGATTGATGCTCTGAAGGTAAAGCGGGTGGGCGCACGTGTTGGGATCGTCATCATGCCGCCACTGAAAAAGCCTGATGAAGATATGGCAAATATGTCACATATCTGTTCCTTGTCTGCCCTCATGCTATTTATCCAGTTCTGGGATGCAGATGGATCAGGAAAGGCAATCAAAAAGGGATTCGATTGCTCAGAGCTTGAGTTTCGATCTACAGGGGACAGTATCGTTCAGCAGAAGGTGTGTGATAAAAATTCTTTTTGGTGACAATATCCTCATTGTTATTCTAGGAGCGCTTTGATAAGACGATCACTCCCATCCTTTCGGAATTGAAGACGAAGTACCCAGTCGGTAATCAACTGCTTTTCTCTGACCAGCGTGTTTACAAGGATTCTGCCACTGGATGGTTTTATGACTTGACGGAAGCGTGCCTCAACATTTGGGCATCGCATATAGTTTGTCATTTGATATTTCACACATTTCCCCCCCCCCTTTTTTGACCTAAGTTTAGGCTCGCAATGCGGCTACATTGGACACACTACCACAATCAACGCACTTCAATCACAACACGCGTATTCGACCCAAGAAGACTACCAATCAATCAGACATGTCTATAGCACTGGCCGCCCCTGAGAACACCGCTCTTCCTGCTGCGGTCTCCACTCCGCCGGCTGCTCCTCCTGCGACGACCACAAGTTCCCTGGTCGAGCTCATGATGCTGCAGATGTTGCAACAGCAACAACAAAATTTGATGAAGGCGCCCGCTCCGACTATTCCTGCCACTGTCACTCCTCTCTCTGATGCCTCAACATCTCTCAACACTGCATTTTACGATATCCCTACTGTTCCACTTGTTGACTTCTGCACTTGGTACCGCATTGATGAAAAGGACAAGGCTCATCTCAAAAAGCTAGAGTTTCAACCTGGCGACAGTATCGACCTCCTGGGATCTGACGAATGGAAAGAAAATGCAGGGTTCACTCAACTCTCATGGGCGCGAATGAAAGCAAAGAATCAGCAGTTTTTGCAGGATGTTCAGATGGGGAAGTGGATTAGGTATGAGACATAAATGTTCGTTTTCACATTGCATTGCAAATTTTACTGTACTGTTCTCTATGTGCTTTTGTGCTATAAAAACTTTACTCTACGTCATCATGACCAATGTAACCTGCATGCCAAAACCAATTCAATGCCATCTCCGCAGTGATACATCCAAGTGAGTCTAGTAAGATCGGGTCATCATGGCCTCATAAAGTTTCACCATGGCAACAGAGGTATGCCTTCCAAGTGCTGAAAGATTCCTCAATCGGATTCAGGTCTGGTGAGTAAGGTGGTAAATACAACAGCATAATCTCTGTCGATCGAGTAAGGGTCATAGATAAGGTCAGTGATTATGGAATACACACGCAAGTCATTGAGAACATCCTGGAGAGTGTCGGTGTGATGAATGCGGCAGTTATCCATGATAAGGACACTGTGCATGTCAGGAAATGGCTTCATGACGGGGACCTGAACCATAATCACAAGAATTAGGCCAGCGGTGCTGTGGAAAAATGCACTCACCACTTCCTCGACAATAAAATCAAAGAACTCGTATGAATGTAAAGACCCTGGAACAACACGAGATGCGAGATAACCAGTTTTACTCATTGCGGCGACGGAGAGTAGCAGTCGCCGCAAATGAAAGGGGTTGTGAGGATAGCATCTTGCCCAATAGGTGCGCGCCCATAACAACGCATTAGTGTATGCTTGTTTTTGCTGGACTCATTGACGACCACAAACTCATCACCAGTCCCAGAAAAGCTGTGTTGAATATTGTGGAGGAACTCGGCCCTTCGTACCTTGTCCCTCTCAATTGCAATCTTGCGGAGAACCTTCCGTGTGAGACCTGCCCTCTCCAGGGTTTCTTGAAGAGCCGAAGTCGAGATTGCGATGTCATGGAAGATCGCCAGATGCCACTGAAGTTCGTCAAGGTAGACAGTAGAGTTTTGTGCATATACATCCCTGATGGTGTTCATCACAATCATGCCAATGATTCTTGGGCATCCTCGAATAGGTGGTGGTGGTGCAGTTGTTGAGCTGAATTCCTCGAAGAGTGCTGCCCAGCGATATAGACTTGCCTGGGAAACGCAGAGTGTCGAGCATACATCCTCTCGAGACCAGCCAAGTTCCCAAAGACAAAGCGCACAGTCCTTCATATCTGAGCTGATCTTCCAAAAGACCATTCTGACAGCAACTAGAAGGCGCGGGAGGTTGGAGGGCAATGCGAAGGCTTGGGGAGTGTTTGTTACAGTGAAGAGGACATGCTTCCTAATTTGGTAACTACAGAATTTACACCGAAAAAAAAATTCCCACATTCTCATGCTTTTCCGGAATGGCTGTAATGACATCAAGATGGTTTTTCTCTGCCAGAAAACGGGGAAGTTTTTATCATTATGTCTCACATTTTTCCATGACATGTTCAAAAAAGCTGTGCAATGCTGGGCTACTAAAATAATGTGTATACAAAGGAAAATAAAGCTATGAAGCTTGCTGACCCAAAAGCCAATCTTGTCTAATCTTGTCTTCACTTCGTTGTTTTGTTAGACTTATTAGAGGATGTTCCTTCCATTATTTCTCAAAAAAATTGGGATGGGTAGGAAGCCTTCCTTTAGTTCTACACATTTAAATTGTTTTCAGAGAAAGGGGCTATGAGTGTGGAGGTCAGTTGCATGAATATAGAGCCCGAATGGACTGGATTTTGTTCTTTGAAGGTGGGAAACATTACATCATCAGAATTGATACTGTGCCCACTTTTGGCAGGGTTTAATCACCCTTGAGTGGCATGGGAAACAGATGAATTCAGACCTCTGTTGGAAAGTTATCTTCTGACTGTCCTTATTGTAGTATAGTGATGTAGTAGGTGCTTTAATCTACACACAGCAGTCTATTTTTTGTTAAATTGGCACAGAATATTGCCAGGATGGTACACATGTGCACCATCATCTGTGTGATACTTGTGTGGCAAGTGTGCAAGTTGCGTGACATCCGTGAAAATTAGCATGCAAGTGGCACACATGCCATGCTCATGCCACACAGATTTCTAGTTGCCCCATGTGAAGGCTTTCAGAGAGTATCTCAATTGCATAGAGGAGACTGGTTTGGGTCATGGTAGGAAGGGACAGGATGGGGAAGGAATGGAATGGAAGAGGAAAAGGTCACGGTTGTTGCCAAGCTTGGCTGGAGAAACGGGGTGAGGCCTTGAGGGCTTGATGCACTTCTTGTTCTTGCACTGCTTCTGAGCACCCTAGCTTGTCTCTTATTTGACATTTACATAAGTTACATTCAATAGCTGTACTGTACTGTATATATTTTCTTGCTATTCAGTCTCCGAGTAAGTCAATGCAGGTAGCTATCGAGTCTTAGCACAGTCTGATTTCCACCACACTGGAAAAAGAGATTCGAATCTGATCCTCAACTTTATGATGTAGACATGAATTGGGAATCATACCCTTCTACCCCAGTGCAAGTTCTCAGGGCCAGCAGGTGTTGGCCCCCATACTATACACCATTCCTGATTTCCTGGATGTATACCAATAACTTGAATACCTACCAAATACCTACAGTTGAGTGCAAAAAGAATGAAGGTTGGTTCATTTTTCTGGTTCTTTCTAAGAATCTATTGTACCTCAAATGTATTTGTGTATTCTTTTACATTATGTAGTTGTGTTACACTTCCCTTGGTATGGACTAATTTCAGTGAAAGCTGGAGCCTTGAGAAGGTTTTTATTCTGGAGGCCATTTTTGGCATCTGAAAAAAAAAATATGCGTTAACTGGAGAGGTAGCCAGAACATACCTCTGGTCAACCT